GAGAGGAAAGGAGAGGGATAGAGAGTTAGAAACATCGATGAGAGAGAAGCAGCGATCAGCTGCCTCCTGCACACCCGCTACTGGGCATGTGCCCGCAACCAAGGTACATGCCCTTGACCGGAATTGAACCCAGGATCCTTGAGTCTGCAGGCTGACTCCCTATCCACTGAGCCAAACCTGCTAGTGCTAAATAAATTTATTTAAATCATAATTTTTGAATTACAGTTGACATACAATTCAGGAGTTGGCAACAATAGGTTTGCAGTTATAGTACACATAAACAATACAACGACTAAGAAATCTATATAAAAGGCTAAGCAACCGACCGACTGTCCGACTGGTAGCTATGATGTGCACTGACCACCAGGGGGCAGATGCTCAATGCAGGAGCTGCTGAGCTGTGGTGACTTGGCAGTGGTGGTTCTTGGGTGACTTACCCCGGAGCCAGAGAGGAGGGAGCCCAATTCCAGTGTGTGTCACCCAAGAGCTGCCCTCTTGCAATCTGGGACCCCTTGGGGGATGTTGGAGAGCCGGGTTAGGCCCAATCCCCGTAGGTCAAGCTGAGGGACCCCACCTGCCGGAGGGACCCCGCTCACTCTGCAGACGCCCTTTGAGCCATGGCACTGCCCCAGGTGCAGCTGGCCAGGGAGGGACTGTGGGAGGTTGGCTGCAGGGCGTGTCCAGCTCTAAAAGCAGCAAGAGAAAGATAGTTACCTACAAGCTCTCCTAAGATTGTCAGCCAATTTCTCAACAGAAACTCTGCCTGCCAGAAGATTGGGCTGAAATATTCAGTGATGAAAATTAAAGATTTACATCCAGATTACTCTGCTCAGCAAGGCTATCATTTGAATTGAAAAAGTAAAGGGCTTCCCAGACAAAAAATGGCCAAAGTAATTCATCACCACCAAAACAGTATTTATAAGAAATGTTAAAAGGACTTTTTTAAGAAGAAAGAAAAAAAGAGGAACATAAATATGAATAATGAAGTGGCAGTAAATACATACACATAAATTTATTTATTTATTTATTAATATATTTTATTGATTTTTTACAGAGAGGAAAGGAGAGGGATAGAGAGTTAGAAACATCGATGAGAGAGAAGCAGCGATCAGCTGCCTCCTGCACACCCGCTACTGGGCATGTGCCCGCAACCAAGGTACATGCCCTTGACCGGAATTGAACCTGGGGCCCTTCAGTCCGCAGGCCAACGCTCCATCCACTGAGCCAAACTGGTCAGGGCTCTAGTTTTTTTTCTTAAAAAGTACTTATTAGATATCAAACTTACTACAAGCTGTTGCTTTTATTTGGACATTTACATATACTTTGCTTTATGACATCAATTACCTTTTTTTTTTTTTTTTTT